ATTCGAATAATGAATGCTAACGCCCTTGATTGATCACCGTCCTACCTAATTTAGATCAGACTTAAGCGTCTTGCTAGACTCGCCGGTTCTGCGAATAATGCAGACAACTCGTCGTCAACACCAAGTGTTAGTCAGGAAGCTGGTCCATCCTCAGCCGCCCAATCCCCCACGCCCACTTCTGCTTCGAATAAACCATCCAATGAACCTGTCCCTAGATCTACGGAAAAGTCAAGGTTACTCGCTAATGCGAACATTACCTCCCAACCGCTGGTGCCAAAACCTGCAAGCCGCATAACCATTTCTTCCAAGCCAAGCACCCCAGTTGCAGATTCATCGACACATAAGCCTAAAGCAACGTTTTCTCCCTTCGTGTTTGAAAAGTGGGAAGCGGAGACAGTTGAGACAGTGTTCGGTGTGGCCCTTGATGTAAGCCGGCGTTAAGAAATGCGATGACTGTAGAGCTAAGCCATTTTATTACCCCATTTGATTCCACGTCCCCTTTCGCCACCAGAAAGATATCGCGGAGAAAGTAAAACTCGTATGGCTCAAAGGTTTGGCTGAGGAGATAATCGGTGAAACACCAGGTATGTAGTGCTCCATCGTTCAGGGTATAACCATAACGTCCTACAGGTGTAGCCAAACCCTTGCGTGCGAAGGGTGATATTGCTGACCAATTACTCATTGGAAGATTGGAACTCGATCCCAATTCAATGAGGTCCGCCCACTGCTCTCTTATTTGACCCGCGTCCGACTTATGGTATTTTCTAGTGATGATCAAGAGCAACTGGCTGTACTTGCATCCATTCCCGCAAGTCAGACCTCATTCGAGTATCTTGTTGGTTGTTGGAAACGACTGAATTCGCAAAAAGCCTCCTTATCGCGAAAGGGTTTACAACCAAAAGTAAGAGTTTAAATCTATAGAGGACCCAATCTTAACAACATCAGGAGCTGGAAAGGGCAAATGCTCTTCTAGAGAAACTGCGAGAGCTAGTCATTAGCTATGCCGGATTCACCTTACAAGACCCCTCTATGTTTCCCCAACCATCTAACGGGTAAGTTAAATCTATTAGCTCTACGCCCTCTTATATGTGCTCTAGGAAACCTCTTGGGGCCGCCGAACTCCTCCCATCGCTCTATGGACTCGGCTCAGCCCCTTCTATATATTCAGTGGCGTCTGAATCAGCGACACTTCTCAATCCAACTGGCGAACTCGAATCATTCCTTTTAGATCTCGTCAAAAGATTTGACAAAGATGGATTGGAAGATGTTCTAGGAGACGTAGTCCGCAGAATCGTTTTCAGTCCGAATCTGGCCGTCGGAATGGTGAGTGATTTCAATGCTATAGGTATTGACTCGACTAGTACGGATGACGCGACTCCTCTTCAATACCCTTATGGACAAATTTATAGGTTCACACGGCTTCTACTATACCCCTAGGACTCACGCCATCATCTTGGCGGTCTTCTGTTGCGGCTCTCGAGTGCCTCTTCGGTATAAAACCCATTGCTGCAATGATCACCCGCCTCCCGGAATGGAATCCTGAATTGTGGAGTGAAACAAACCCTGCTGGTAAGCCAATGATAAGTTGTAGTGAATTTACTCACTCGCAACAGGAGCCAAAAATGGGAACGAGCACGAAAAACGTAGCATTCTCGGCATGGTCATGCGTTTAGGCGTCTTTGCGAGGGATTGGGTAAGGTTTCTGCTTATATTGCAAACCTTGCCTAACATTTTACGTAGCCGGTCGTTTTAGTTGGATATTACAAAAACTTTGAGTCAATGAGTCCTCGGGATAAAGAAGCCTCCGACGCGACTCTCAGCTCAACTCTCGTCAGCCTTCGGGTCAGTATCTTACCATCTAGGTGTTATTATATCACTGACATATTGTCAGAACTCCTTATTTAATATCGTAAATAGCGTCGTGAGGGCCGGGCCAGAATCACGAGAGGCTTTCCTAAGCTTTGTTGCAAGAGTGGTTCAACTGAACAGGAAACGAGCGGCCATCCGGGTCAAATATGAAGAACAAGCATGCGATTCTTTTATTCACAACCTCAATTACGTGCTCCTTCGTCTAGCGGAACCCTTCATGGATGCCCAATATAAACAGATGGAGAAGATCGACCTTAGATACTACGAACGTTCGAAGAGGATATCACTGCAAGGTCTCACTAGAATAAATGCGACACCTCCAGAGATAGAGGACTGGGAGAAAGGAGCAGACGCCCCTGGACCGTCTCCGAATTTCGTATCAGATGTGTTTTACTTGCTTTCTGCGGTCAATCACATTGGCACAGGACCAATGTCAAACTATCTCTCAGATATGGGAAGACATGTACGAGATATCAAAAAGCAACTGGAAATGATGGAGAAGGATGAAAGTTGGAGAGGAGTATGTTTGTTGACCATATTTATTTTGACCATTCTGATGTCGTGTCACAGGGACCAATGCAAAATCAAATCGAGACAGCCATCAAGCAGGGAAAGGTTAATGAGCACCATCAAACAAAGCCCATCGTTTTGCTAACTTTCTGCAGGAGCGAGTGTCCAAGATTTACGCCGATATGGAATCCATGTATGTTGCTCTTCTCCAAGAGGAATTTGCGTCGCGAAGCGTCAGCTTTGCAAACTTTGTATCCGTATGGCTTCTTCGGTTGGTCGATCCTGCAAAGCGGCATCCACGAGAGACCATCAAGTGAGTACTTTCAACCCCCATTTTACGGGACTTTTAGTTAAAACAGAACCCAGGCTTCCGTTGCCAGACGAGGTGCCGTTGGTCTTCAAAGTGCAACCTGAATACATGTTCGACGATGTCGTTGAATTTTGGGACTTTATGATCAAGTACAAGCCAACCATGTTTGAATATACTGGGCAAAAGGAGATCATCGATTTTGCGATCTCGTTTTTAACGTCGACCTGGTACATTACCAATCCATACCTGAAATCAAAACTAGTCACAGTGCTTGCGATTGGGGTACGGCCATTCAGGCAATTCAACCACGGCATACTGGGCAATGTGTTGTGTAGCCACCCACTCAGCTTAAAGTTCTTGATGATGTGCTTGATGAGCTTCTATGTCGGTACGTCGTCAGGTTCGAATATATATAGGGGAATGTCTCTGACTCCGCGCCACAGAGTGCGAGAAAACTGGGACTCACACACAGTTCTATGATAAATTCCGTGAGTAGCACAGTTTATTTTGATATCTCGGCTGACTTTCTTTGCAGAGATTCGGTACGCCATAGTTTCATACAGATAACCAAGGCTAACACAAAATCATATAGACGGGACATAGCAGAAGTCATGCAAAGCGTTTGGCGCGACCCGACTCATAGAGGAGTTATGGAAAACTTTACGAGGTAGGTAGCCCTCGACTTCTACCGTAAAAATCCTCTAAAAGCTAGATAGTAACCTGCAGGAATTCATCAAGTTTGCAAACCGCCTTATGAATGACGTTACATTCATGCTAGACGAGCTTCTCTCTAAACTAGCCGAGATTAAGAAGTTACAACTGGAGATGGAAAAGAAGGAAGAATGGGAAGCGTTGACGCAAGAACAACGAGAAGATGTATTGTCCAAATTACGAGCAGCCGAGTCCATCGTCGAGCCCTGGACCATCTACTCCCGCGAATTCTTGTCACTTCTCATTGAATTCACCGGCTCGACCAAGGCTCCATTTGTATCTTCCGAGATAGTGGATCGACTTGCAGCAATGTTAAACTATGTCTTGGAACAATTGGCAGGGAAAAGGTCCTCGAACCTCAAAACAAAGGACCTCAGCAAATATGGGTTTGACCCCAAAGAAACA